TGTGTGTGTGTGTGTATGTCTCTGTATATGTATGTTTCTGTGTATATGTGTGTGTCTATGTGTCTCTGTGTTTATGTCTCTGTGTATATGTATGTGTGTGTCCATGTGTCTGTGTGTATATGTCTCTGTGTATATGTGTGTGTGTCTGTGTATATGTATGTGTGTCTCTCTCTGTGTGTGTGTGTGTGTGTCTGTGTGTCTCTGTGTGTGTCTGTGTGTCTGTATGTGCAGTGCTGATGATGGAACCCAGGGCTTGTGTCTGTCAGGCAAGCTCTGTTCGCCTGAGCCCCACCCCCAGCCCGATGGTTCCCTTTCTCTGTGAGGTGGAGGGCTCGCAGCTCACTCCCATCTGCAGCTGTCGTTTTTGGATCCAGGCCTTGAGACCATTTGGCTCCTCAAACTTTGGAAGACTTTACAGTGTCTCACCCAAATGCAAGCTTAAAGCACTTGTAAGGTTTCCAGGCAGGTTCTGCAGATGATCAGACAGGGAACCTGCTTTCTGGAGACAGGGAGGGGGAGGTCTAGACTTGCTGGCAGCCTGCGGTGCACAGACAGGCATGGAGGGAGGCCTAGGTCATCCAGATAGCCCAGATTCTGTGTGACCTCAGCCTGTCCATGTTTATGGTAATAATTCATTCCTGCTATGTTTGCGCAATTCCTTTAGTACTGGTAGATCCTTCCGGAAGCAATTGGAAGAGACATTTAAGAGAAGAGCATCTCTTCTGGAAGTTTCCTTTAGTGGTCTATTATAGCCCACCACAAAATGCCCAGAGGAAGTGATAGGAGGCCACCTGAATGTTCAGAGTAGAGGCGAGAGCAGAGTCAGGGCCAGCAGATAACGATGCTTGCTGCCAAGCGTGATGACCTGGCTCCAATCCTGGAACCTACATTGTAGAAGGAAGAGAAGCTACTCCTCCAAGTTTTCCTCTGACCTCCATATGCATGGTCTGACACACGCGTGCACGCGCACGTGTACACACACACACACAAATAAATAAATAAAATAAAAACTTTTTAAAAGAAAGAAAAGCCACTGAAGTACAGAGGTGAGCACAAGTGGATTTTCTCAATCTACCGCCATTAAATCAGGCTGCCTCCCAGACTTGAGAGCAGACGGGGGAATTTGGTGACTAAGGCTGAGGCCAAGTCAGGCAAGGATGAAGACAGATGAGAGACAGGCACTTTCCTACACGAGCCTCTTCTGTCAGTGTCCCGGACTGGATGTGCTGAGCAATTGCCCTGGCCAGCAGCAAGCTCTGGTGCCCAACGTGCTCATCGTGTTCCTCCCTTCCCTAACAGGAAGAGCCAGTGATCTACAGTCACCTCATAGGTCTCCACATAAAAATGGAGAAGCATGGCTCCTGGCTGGCCTTCCTCAGGAAACAGACACAAACCGCATGCTGTGGGCCTGGTGTCTTCCCTTTTCTTATTGACTTACTTATTTTTGAGGTGTTGGAGATCTGTAGACATGCTAGGCAAGACTTGTATCTCTGAGCCACGCCCCCAGTCCCTCATTGGGGGATTCTGGGCAGGGGCTCTACCACTGAGCCACGCCCCCAGCCCCTCACTGGGGGATTCTAGGCAGGGACTCTACCACTGAGCCACGCCCCCAGCCCCTCATTGGGGGATTCTAGGCAGGGGCTTTACTGCCAAACCATATTCCAGTCTTCCTGCCTTTTAATCATTTTTGTTTCCTATCTTGGAGTCCTCTGTAAAACAAACAAACAAACAAACAAACAAAAAACCAAAACAGCCAGGCAGTGGTGTCGCACGCCTTTAATCCCAGCACTTGGGAGGCAGAGGCAGGCGGATTTCTGAGTTCGAGGCTAGCCTGGTCTACAGAGTGAGTTCCAGGATAGCCAGGGCTGCATAGAGAAACCCTGTCTCGGAAAAACCAAAACCAAAACCAAACAAACAAAAAAACCAAAAGCCAGTAGAATCCCGGGGTGGGGGTGGGGTGGCTCAATGGTATGCCTATTCCACCACCCTACTATACCCAACTGATGGCCATGGTGGGATGCATCCCCGCTTGCCTGACCCAACCCCTGCTGTGCCCACAGGTGGCCATGGTGGAGGTGCAGCTGGACACAAAGTACCAGTACCCTCAGCCCCTGCTCATCGCCTTCAGCGCCTGCACCACGGTCCTGGTGGCCGTGCACCTGTTTGCCCTGCTCATCAGCACGTGCATCCTGCCCAACGTGGAAGCTGTGAGCAACATCCACAACCTCAACTCCATCAGCGAGTCACCGCACGAGCGCATGCACCCATACATCGAGCTAGCCTGGGGTTTCTCTACCGTTCTAGGCATCCTGCTTTTCCTGGCTGAGGTGGTACTGCTCTGCTGGATCAAGTTCCTCCCGGTGGATGCCAAGGATCAGTCAGTCTCCGATAGCCACACGGGCTGGCAGGCCGCTCTGGTGTCCACCATCATCATGGTACCTGTGGGTCTCATCTTCGTGGTCTTCACTATCCACTTCTACCGTTCTCTGGTGCGGCATAAGACAGAGCGCCACAACCGTGAGATCGAGGAACTGCACAAGCTCAAGGTGCAGCTGGATGGGCACGAGAGAAGCCTGCAGGTGGTGTGAGCGAGGCCTTTGCGATGTGATACCAGCCTGCACGGGAGAGCAACCCTCAGGCCACCACACAGCCGGTAGGTGTAGCCAAGGGGGCTGCCAGACAAACCCGGGCTGTATGAGATCCACCATGCATCCCAAGAGCCTCAGTGGGATTGCTAAACAGACTGCCCAGATGCTGCTCCAATAATTCCATCCTCCTGTCCTCGCATGAATAAGGGTCTAAAAGGAGTGAGAAAGCATCGGTTTCATCATGGAAGCCAGAGGAAGAAACATGACCACATGGCCCGGGGGACTTCCTGAGTCCAGTCAAGCATATCAGAAAGCACTGTAGATCTCAGATATCTGGACCTTGTGATTGGCAGGGTAGGATAGTGACTTCCCAAAGCCTGATGGGGGGCTGGGGCTCAGGTGGGAGAGTGCCTGCCTAGTGTGCAGGAAACACTGCATCAACCAGGTCATCCCAGGGTCATTGCAGTGAGAGGGAGGGGGAGGAAGGTAGACCAGGGGTTCAAAGTTGTTCTCTGCTACATGGTGAGTTTGAGGCTACACGAAACAGTCAGACGCATGCACATGCATGCATGAGAGCTTGCGCACACACACATGCACACACACACACACAAGAGCACAGACACCATGCACACACGCATGTGCACACAGACACACACAAAGAATAAACTACTTGAGAGTGCAGAGGTGGGCCCGGCGCTGGCATAGGGTAGCATGGCTTGTGATGAGAGACGGATGTGTTAGCCAATCTGTAGCTCATCTCGGTTCTTTCCTCCCAACTCTGGAGAGGGTCCCGCGTGTTCAGGATTCTGGGGCACACAGCAGCTCGACAAGGGTAACAGATGCTGTTATTGGATTCGGAGTTGTCTGATCCTGGTGTGGGAGGCCTGGCACAATTGATGACAAATGTCCTAGAGTCCACCACCATGGGCTGACTGAGATGGACAGACACACACACACA